AACTGAATCTGTATCGTAAGTATTCAACTAAAATTAGGCTAATACAAGCAGATATTTGGTTTCTAAAGAGCTGTGAAAAATATTCAGATTTCCAAATTTTGTTCAGTTTTAATCTTCCTCTATGAAGATGATCACTTGGTGATCGAAACACGTGTCGAGGTGTTGAAAATAACGATTTGGCGTTGGGAAAAAACTACAGTAATATTCATTACTACACCAAAGGTTCCAAACAGTGCATCATAAGTTATTACGAATCTGTACTTCACTGAACATTTCCGTGACATCTACTTTCCGAAGTAATTTTACGATTATACAGTGGTGAAAATTGGGACTAATCGCTCAAAAGAAACATGTTATAGCATCGTTATTATCTTATCATTTTTGGAACGAAAATCAGAAGTTTCTTTGTGATGTTCACCAGGGAGCTTGTTAAATATAAACAGTAAGTATATGAACCTATATAAACCAATATCCAAATGTCAATAGAGTAGGCTCATTAACTATGTTCAAGAAAATGTGTGTGAATATTATTTTTTGTTGTAAATTAGCCATCGTCGCCATCACTAACAAAAACCTTCGGGAGTCGAAGTGTGTGCGAGCTGAGGTTGTGTCTTACGTTTTGGGAAAGCTCTCCAACCAGTTGCAGTCTGACCAAAATTGTTGATTCCATATAAGCGGCTGATGTTTGGGGTTGATTCTAGAGCAGAAGTATTTCATGTTAGTCACTCAGCCAATAATTATTCATAATCAAAATTTACCTGAATTGAAATTATTATGAGTAATTTCCCAAATTTCCCTTGATACATCTCTCTACCTACCAATGCAACTTTTGGTATTTGAGGACATGGCATCATATACTAAGGTTAGCACCATACACGATGCGATAGAAGACATACCACGCATCTAAATAAAGACCGATCTGGTGGAGAACGCCACACAGCAGCTGCAACAGGCGATCATCCAAATAATGAAAAGAAGCGCGCGGGAAGTCCCAACCCAGCGCTTCTACTTACAAGAGCATTTTCCACCAGAAACGATGGAGCTCATTAGAATCAGAAGACTCCTGAAAAGACGATATCAACGGACTCGCGCACCAATGAACAAAAGGTGTATGCAAAGAGCCGGCAGAATACTGCGAGAAGAACTTAAAGCAAACCGAGATCAACAATGGACAACCCGTCTGGAAGAACTAAATAGAAAAACTCTCAGGAAGGGGCGTCGACAATTCCAAAAGGCAGTGTAGATAGAACGACGTCCCGTTCACGGACGAAGTAAAAGAAAAAGAGACACAGGTGGAAACGACGTTAGTTAGACTCAGAAGACAAAGAAGGGACAACGCGCAACCCCTGGCATCAACATCTCCCGAAGAAGTGAGAGATATCGTAAGAAGTCTAGCCAATCGGAAAGCCCCAGGCCCAGACCGAATAACAAACCTACCACGGAAGACAATAGCAGCTATAACAAACATCATAAATGCTATACTCAGACTGGAGCAAAAATTTCTCAACCAGACTTCGAATTGATTTCATTTTCAGATTCACTGAGAACACTTGCTTGCGACTAAAGACACTCGTCTCCGGTTAGTTTTTGGGGACCCCATGCGATAATTCAGTTAGGAAAGTCATGACAAAACAATTCAATAGATCAAAAAGTAAAAGCACGTAGATGCTGACTTTCGACCAAAGAAGGTCAGATGTCAATCTTGCTGAAGTGCCCATCAGTAAGTTGAGGACCGCTCCGGAGGGGCGGGGGTGGATGGACGATATGGGGTGTTCTGCACACAATAACCGTGTGGAGAAGATTTCAGCTCAGGGCACCCAACCCAGGAGGGGGCATAAAGGGACTTAGGTAAGTTCATAACTCGCTCAGAAGATGACACAGTATGTCGAAACAGCTTTTAGCATTAAATGTTGGTGTTGTGTGAATTGCGAAGTATTATTTTCTCTCTACTCATTCAATTCAAATTCCTCATTGGTCGTTCGATAACAAGATGTTAGTCACTCAGACAATAATTATGTATATTCAAACATGCAGTTGATGCAGATGCTGCAACAAAAGAATATGATTAAAAAAGTTTTACAAGAATTCAACGCCCTAAAAGTTGGTAAAATCAGTCGTAGTCGCCTGAAAGTCAATGGAAATGTCTTTGAAACATTTTATATGTTTTGTGTGAAGAGACAATGCAATATATCTGAATTGTCACGCTTTTATGAAACATTTTTCAATTCACTATTTATTCACCTGAAATCCTGTCTACGATGAAAATCACAACTGTCAAATTAATAGCTTCAATAAACTCTGTAACTATTCGAAAAGCAGATTCCGTAGCCCGTAGTTTTATGGTGGACATGTTTCATTTTTTCTAGAAAAACTCAAATATCACGTATAGGGAATGTTTTATAAGAATGAATCACAATCATGACGGAATTTCAAAACTATCCTGAAATATGGGGTGTTCTGTTTGAAAAAAATGAGTTTTAGCCCATTTTTATATCTTCAGAATCAGTAATCGATTTCGAACATCTTTTTTAATATTTTTGAAGTGTCACTTCTACAAAACAATGGAATAGAGTATTTTGATGAATCAGTGATGGCTTATTTATGTATTCTTGTGTCAAAATGAATATAGTTTTCTATTTATTCATTTTTTCATTCAATAATTCATTTATTCATTCATTTATTCATCAATTTATTTTTCATTCATTTATTCATTATTCATTTATTCATTCATTAATTTATTCATTTATTTATTTATTCATTCATTCATTGATTTATTCGTTCATTCATTTATTTGTTCATTTGTTCATTTATTCATTCGTTTATTTATTTATTCATTTATTTATTTATTCATTCATTATTTATTCGTTCATTTATTCATTTATTACACGAATAGGGATACTAACAGAATACATTCAAAAATATCCCCATTTTACATATGAAAGATAGTGAGTAAACAAAATATACATGCTAAATACATTACACTATTTAGTAATGAATATTAACAAAAAACTAAATAAACAGTATATGAAGAACCGATAACTAATTATAAATAAAATAGATTTCACATACTTTTTGAATCTAAGGAAAGATAACCTCAGTTTTTCAATATCATTGCAATGAGTATTGAAGGATCTGACAATTCTGCATAACGCAGAGTTTTTTCCTGAATTGGTTTTTCTAAATGTGGTTGCAAAGAGTTCATGGTTTCGCAAGTCTCTGCAAGGTGTATTCAATGAAATTTTTGTTATCAACGTAGGACAATCGACACGTTTATTGAATAATTTGTACAGCATTAATATATCTGACATTTTTCTTTTATCTGTAAGAGAAAACAAAGAATACTTTTTGTAAACTGGACGGAAATTTTCATCGATTATAGAAATGTCAGTTTTACGCGCCAATTGTTTGACGAATTTATTTTGAACACTTTCAATTATCTGTTGGTAAATCGAATATTGTGGACTCCAAACGACAGATGCAAAGTTCAAACGACTATATACATAAGAGTAATATAGATCAAGAGAAGTTTTTGCATTTCTGAAATGTCTTGTATTTCTTATAATGAAACCCAATAAACGATTACACATATTAACGGTCTTCTCAATGTGGGATTTGAAAATCATTTTGGAATCCATTATCACTCCCAAATCACGTACTCCATTAACTGTTTTAATTTTATGATTTCCTATTCGATATTGAAAATCAATGGGATTTCTATTTCTGGTGAAAGTTATTTTGTGACGTTTATCGAGATTTAAGTATAGGCTACTATCGCCACAGATTTCTGCAAATGCTTCAAGATCATTTTGCAATCTCTCACAGTGCTGGATTTCTTTGATGGTTCGATAAATCTTGAGGTCATCGGCATATAACAAAAAGTAGGAATGTTGAAATACTTAAACAATATTATTAATATAAATCATAAAAAGTAATGGTCCCAAGAGACTCTCCTGTGGTACACCTGATGTAACCACAAAAGATTCTGACTGGTAACCGTTAAACTCCACAACTTGATGCCTTCCTGTAGTGTGTGACGATATCCACACCAGAAGATGCTGATCTATCATTGCTGATCGATTAGAGCTATCACAGTTTGAGGCGAGATTTTTATAGTGAATCACAAGTTTTGAGAACGGAAAAAGATTTTTTATCGTGACGTTAGCCACATAAGAGGGCTAAGTAATAATATTTATTTTTTTTCAATTAGTTGGTGAAATTTATGAATACAACAAGTTAGTGATCAATTAGACTTTTCAATAGTTCATGATACGCAGTACCTTTTCATTGAAGCAGATTCCCTATCGATTCACCTTTTATTTTTTCCGAATGTGGAAGGTTATGACCCCAAAAAAAACAGTAAAGTTCATCAGTCCGGATTTTCAGTATCTAATATAATATATTATGATTTTAAATCCCTGAAAGAACAAATAAAATTGAAAATTAGTCATTCATCACTCGAAGACTTCGTAGATACCAACAATCGAAACGTCGTGAGGTAACTTGGTATGAAACATTGTCAAGCAGTTTCAAACAAACCAAAAAAAAGTATAAATATTCTATCAAACTTTTGAATTGATGAGGGAATCACTCGAGAGCCGAATACCTAGTTTTTTTGAGTAAGCAAATGAATGTCTCGAGAACGAAATCACATGTTTCGGTTTTGTGAACTGCTTGCAATAAAGTATTATCTATGTATCATCTATTCAGGTTGGCGTTTTTGTTTGATCTTTGATTTCAAAGTCCTTCACGAGTACATTATCGCACTGCTTATGAAAACTGGGGAGAGCAGCACAGATGTTTGGTATATGAACTGGAATGAAAAGTGTGTAAACCGAAAACACTGCTTATATTCATTTCAATATTTCTAAATGCTGATTGGTTCATTGAAATGGTGCCAAGAAACATTGAATGATTTCAACGGCAAATGATCAGAGATGATTTCATGAATGGGATTTGCTAAGCGACCAGCCACTGACTGACTTGAATGAAATGAAACAACATTACAGTGCAGAGTTCTGATATATTTAAGTCATTTCACATATACCATTCAAGATATATTCATGAATTACATTCTTCTGCCTTAGTTTTCGAGTCAATGAGGACATCATGAAGTTCTTTTTTTAAATGGCTGAGGTTACAATCGAATTGCAAACAACCTTTTGGTGTAATCTTCTTGATAACGTCTTTTTGTTTATAATAAATGTTGACGTGGTAAGTCCCAAGAAAAGATTTCCACAATTCAAAGTAGATGGTGCTTGCAAAATATGGGACGTGAGGCTCATATGCACCCAAAGCCGAGAGTATTTGAACAATATTGAAGTCGTGGCCGCTATACATTCGGAAAAAATGAGCACTGGTAGTATTTTGTTGCATTTTTTCAAAGTGTTCTATAACCTCTTTGAGGAACGTTCCAGCACCTGAAAATTTGTTAAAAAAGAATTCAAAATAAAGTATCATAATAAAATGTTGTTGATGTATTAAATAAAGCTGTTCATATTATATATCGGACAATAGCTTCGAAAATTGTGTGTTTTATAACATGTTTCCTGTGCGTGTTGAAACACGTGATAGTTTCATTGTTTGTGTGGAATTAAAACATTGAAATCAACAGTTCAAAAATAACTTCTCAAAACGCTCGAAGGTGCGAACTCTTTTCCTCCTTTTCATAGAAGAGGATGTATGCATCTTCACTCACAAGCGATTTTAGTGAAATTGGTGACACGTGTGAATCATTGTATTCGTGCCACGTGTCAGTATAAGGATGCCTGCAGAATGCTGTTGTCCGGTGTATGGAGACCCATTGTGATTTGAAAGTGCATATAGATTATAACGACAAAGAGTCAAATTGTCCGCTGCATAATTGTTTATATCTGATCCATCTAGAGGAAATTCGATAGAAACATTTAACTTGCCTCTAAATCTTTCTGTCAGGGAAAATCTTTTGAAATGAATGACTAAAATACGGGGAAACTTATGGATCGATAGAGACTTTTTGCATTTTCTTCTTTCCTCGCAACTTCAACACGTCGTTTTTTCATGTCCATCCAAAGTTTCCTCTCCTGTGAAGAAATCCAAGCACTGTGATAAACTCAATTGGCCAGTTCTTTGTGGTATGGGGAGTGACCAATCCCAGAAAGAATCGGAGGTTACAAATGAGTGTCCACAATGTGTACACTTCATCGTGGATTTTAATTGACCAAGAGAGATCATGAGATCCAAAAATACCGAAGGTTTCAATAGTAACAGGAAAGAAACAGTAGGAACTTAGCAAAGTGGAGTATTTCTGAAATTTTGATTTTTCTGCAATCATAGCAGCTGTACCAGTGAAATTGGACGTAGCGGCAAGTTGTGAAGCTGCAACTGTATCCACGCAGGTGGATTGAAATGAAATGTCGTCATGATAATATCATGATGGTGTTCTTTTTAAGTTGAATGTTGTTGAAATTGTTTTTCCTTCAATCCCTTTATCGCTTCTAAAATAATGTACCATTCGGCTCTTCTACTCAGACTGTAAGAAAATATGGAAAAACATTGAAAAAAATATAGAGTATTCATATATTCTGAAACTATTTTTAACATTTTTGTTGAACCAAAATGTTTATGAGGCTCCTAGCCTATATTTTGCGACTCAAAAGCAATATAGGTTTTTCGTTGTGGCTTCGAAATCAGAACGCATTACTATTTCAGACTTTTTTGAAAAAATGTTCCGTCTATAGAAATAGAACTGCCGCGCAATGGCGCGGCATCTCAAACAGGTCAATGTGTTTGAGATGCGCTCGACCGATATATCAACTACATGATTTGAAAGGGTTATATTTTTAGGAGTGATTAATTTTTTGGGAAAGAAAGTTTTTGACTTTCTACTACTCCATCTGATACAAAAAAATGGATGAGAGAATCTTCCAAAGAAAGGAATGATCTACACATCCATGTATAGAGTTATTTATTTTCAAATTGATTATTCCTTCCTTTCTTTGGAAGATTCTCTCATCCATTTTTTTGTATCAGATGGAGTAGTAGAGAGTCAAAAACTTTCTTTCCCAAAAAATCAACTACATGTATTGATACTCATATCGTGTTTATATCTTGGCCGAGGTGGCGTGGGCGTAATGTTGGACAGTGAATTGGAGAGGAGTTTGTGTGACAAGGGCGTGCTGTTGGAGATGTGGATTGCATATTGTGTAGCAGTAGTATGAGTGCTGAGGTTGCACATCTTCGGGTGAATTTCATGAAGGAACTACATAGATTGGCTGTCGCAATTACTAGACATTCAAGAAAGGAAGAAGGAACCAAATATAGGGGTGGGTTGGGGTGGAGCCGTCCCAATGGAACTGTTATCGAAGTCGACTTGGTTTAAGATATCTTGAAGTGTGTGCAGTAAAATCGTGAAACTCAATGTTTGTCATAAACCAGATGGAACTGTTCACTTTGTTAATCGCTAGCGAAGACACGGAGAAACATAATGTGGTGAAGTTGTTGGAGGCATGGCAAAGTTTTGTATTGAAAATTTGATAACTATTTAGAATTTTTCAAATTGTACCATTTTCTATGACAATATAATGGTTATTTGAATATCGATATGTTATTCGATGTACTTCTCTATATTGACAGTCGTATCAGATATTTTTCTGGTGGATATGTATTCACATTATATTTTCTATGATGAAGAACATTTACGTATGGTGAATGCAAGCTCCTATTCAATAATATCATTATTTGATATCCGAAAGAAAATTAATTGATGATTATCAAAATCTCATGATATACAATTTCAATAAATTGAATAGAGCGATTGTACAAGGGGAACAATGATTCTGGTGTTACGAAGAAAGTCTCCTGTTTGCTGAATTATGGGAAGAATGGGTGCATAATGACTCATTTCTCATACTTCAGATCATAAATGTATACGTATGAAATTCAGGAGAAGAAATGAGTTGGGAAGTTCAAAGATTTGAAATGAAACTTTATAAAGAACAAATTTGACTCTTTTTATCATGTGAAATATATACAGTGATGATATGAAAATCCCAGAATCAACAGGACATACGTTCATTGTCGAAAAATTTTATCAGTGGTAAGCAAAAGAAAATCTCCATGAATCGTCACGATAACAAAAGAATAATTATTTCACAGACTTTCGATTTCCGACTATCAGAACATTATTCTACTTCAATTTCTCGAAAAAATATCGCCCTTTCAATCATTCACAATGGATACGATGACCCTGAGGACAGATTATCAATATGCCAGTGGAGTGCCATAATATATCCTAATCTGCTATCGACTCCTCACTGCACACATACATTACACCCTAACTCTGTTCGCCATCCGAATTTCTCATAAACAATTTCTCCGCTATATATACTTTGAATAATCTATTGGCGGATTTGACGATTTGGAATACTGAGGAGTTATTGGACCTTTTCGAAATCGGATAGAGTTACTGAGCCGACGCTAAAAGAAATGGAGTTCCAAGGCCACAAAAATGGCCTAGAAGTCCCGTACATACTACTTCCATTAAATCTAAATGTTTGTATTCGAGGTACTAATAATGATGTTTCAAGATCGTATCAGTATTTCATACTGATCTAGTTTTATGATTGAAGTAGTTTCTACCATTCCATACGTTTTTATTGCTTACTGTTGATTGTTCTTATATTTCTGTTTAGTTGAGATTTTTGCTCAAACAGTAACGGAAAGATAACAGAATTCCACCTCGAAGTAAATGGAAATGAATAATAATCATTTAAATTCTGTTCAGGTACAAAAAGTTATTGAATTTTGAATGAATGCATCACACATCGTTGAACTTTATATTGAAGAGAGCAGATATACTTACTCAGACGTGCCAGTTTGGTGGTGTATCCACTACTTTGGAACGAATATCCTGCCAGAGTGGTTATAGGCTCCGGGAAAACAGCATCAGTCCATGAAGGTAAAGTATAGCCAAACTCATTTTCGATAAACAGACTATCGAAAATAGACCCCACTCCACTCAGAGAAGTAACATTATCGCCACTGTGTATTGTGAGATAATCATACAAATCTGCGTACTTCTTATCGATGTCTTTGTAGTATGATTCGTTATTCAAAACTCTAGACTGTTCTTCGAAATAGGCCTTACATAGTGGAAGAGGAGATAAGATATCTGAATCTAATGGATGAATGGGAATTGGACTCCAAGATATATCTGGATTCCATTGTTCTGCTGCTGTAGGGGGAAACAACCCTAAGACATTACATTGGGCTGACATGTGAGTTCTATCAACCTCAGTTGTTTGTACGTAGAAGAAGTCACTGGCGTAAGCTCTTGGTAAAGTGTCATTGTACCTTTCACGTGTATATTGGCCTAGTCTGAAGTGTTGTGTCTTTCCAGTCTGAAATAATTTTTTGAATTAGTATTGAAAATTGAAAAAAATTATGAAAAATCATTTTGTCAGAAAGTTTTCTTTCCCAACGCCAAATTATAACGATTTGGTGTTGGGAAAGAAAACTTTGGTAATATTCATTACTACACCAAAGGTTCCAAACAGTGCATCATAAGAACATTTTTGAAAACAATCCGTCTACTCCCAATCATCCAAGCTACAGTGTAGGCAGATTGAGGCCTAGACCAGCGACGAGACATGAGGAGAAGGCAGATTGAGGCCCAGGCGTCAAGTAAGGATACCCGTTGCAGCGTATCACTATCTGAGGAGTAGGCAGATTGAGAGCTCAGTCTAGTGAAAGCTTCTTGAAAATGCCTTTCAAATCGAAGCTGTACAGCAAGACACAAAAACACAAGACACGGTTTAACACGGAATTCAAACCATCAGATTGCTGACGACGGTGTATTCTACAAAAAGTTATAATGATAATAAAGAAATAATTTGAAATTTACAAACAAGGTTGAAACTTACTGTTGTTGGGGATTGGTGTGACAGAAAAGATGTGAAATTCATAAAATAACACATGTCGGTATAATCAGACAAGTCACTGAGTTGAAATAGCTGGATTCCTCACTGAGGCACAATGAATACTTGAAATTTCTCAATAAAAATTATATGACAAAAATATAATTTTCTGATTGGGGATCATGTGCTCGGTACTAAAGAGAGAGAAAGAAAGACAAGAAACATGGCAATGCCATATGTCATGGAATTCAGTTTCAACCATGTTGAAACTATGGATCAATTGAAACAGTTCTGATGCAAGTGTGATGGAAAACATCTCTTGTTAATGTATGCATAACAATGTCAAATGTATCAAACTTCAACTTCACAATTCTCAGTTATGTGAAGAGAAACTCATTATTTTATCAAGTAAAATTTTGAGTAACAAATTATATTGAACTTGGTAGCAATACCCCATTGAAAGGCAAAATTATATTGATTATTCATTGAATATATGTGAAGAAGTGAAAGTTTCAAATTATTCTAGTGAAAATTCAGAACTATTTCTACTTTGAAATTCATGTATATTTTTGTCAATGTCAAGCAAAGATGCATAAATTTCGCTGATATGGGTGATGTCAGACCTTCGATGAAGACAGTTCCTTGATTGTGAAATGGATGACATTTCTCAGATTCTGAGAAATGAGAGAGAGAGATATGAATCTCTCAGATTCGTTTTTTTCAATTGTGAAAATTCTAGTTGAATTGGAGTCCATCTGTTACTTTCTTTGAATAAATGAATAATTTGTGCTCATCTCTTAGAATGTAATCTACTCTAGTATTTTGAGAGAAGTAATCTTTGTTATCTTTGACCAAAATACATACAATTGAAAAATTATTTTGGGATCATTTTCATACATGAATTATCAGATGAAATAACAGATTCAAAGCATTCATGTATAATAATACAGTTGTTCCAGTTGACAGATTATTGTTCCAAATCTAATTTCGGTGAAAAACCAGACGTTACTAATATTCAAACATTTCAACTAGTTTCATGTTTCTAAAAATCCACTTATTCAGCTGCGATTGATTCATTATTTCACTTTCTGGCACATACTAGTAGGCATGTTCAGAAACATCTCAAATCCAAGAAAAATGAAAATTGATAACGACATGAAAGTTATTGAATAAAACGTAGAGAATATTTCAATTGACTTCATGATCGGAGATATTGGGGATGAAATAGGGTAAATTTTGGGGATGACAAATAGTTTTCCATGATTCCTACTAAAACTAGATCACCTACTACTATTTTTTGCACAACCTCTAATTGTACAAGTGAAAAAACAGGATTTCTAGTTTTGAATTTTTTTCTTTACAAAAATGATTTGTGTTTCACAAAATACGGTGGGGATCTATGTTTCTATGTTGTATTTTCTGAATCCAGAAATTGCAATATAACATTTCATTTTCATATTGAACCTAAAAAAAAACTTAATTTTCCACCTAAAATACCCATGTGCTGAAATTTTCATACAAAATGGACAGTGGACTTTTTTTTGTTGAAATATCTACTTTCAGATGGTATAAAGAATATCAGGAAGAGCGATTTACTAGAGATATTTAACTTATTGATTTTTTCAATATTTTTTGGAAAATTTTTCAATGCTAATATTACTACTTTTTGTCCCTTTACATTTTCATATAAATAAAATGTGTGATGACTGTTTATCTCGAATACTGTTAGTAGTTGATAGTGGAATGGTTATTTTTTTCTTTACGGTTAGTCATGATTTATCATTGCAAAGATTGAATCCTGCCTTTTGGTTGGTTTTGAAAACTGGTGAGTGAAAATCTTACAATAAAATTTTACTGAAATGAATTGAAGTATTCAATTTCTGAGCAGGATGAACAATCTTCCTGAACACTTACGTTTGTTAATTGTCCTGGTCCTACTGGCCAATATTCTGAACTCGAGTAGGGGTCGTTAGAATAGTGATTCGTTGCAGTTCTTTGGCCATGACGAAATACCTGTGGACAAGTAAAAATGTCAAAAAAGATACTTGTCTCCAATCCAATTTTCGATAATCAACGGGTTTATATTGAATGAGTTCCAACTCTACCTGTACTACAGAAATTAAAGTTGATGTTGCGAAAATCGGTGTGATGAGAGTTACGAGAAAGACTAGCATCTCAACCAGCATGATTTCTGTTGAATTCAATTCACTTTTTCTACCGATCCTACTACTGCGGTTTTGATGACTGTCGCATTTATATCTTTCAACAATCTGAGTGGAGTCATATAAAACGGATTAAAATTACAAGGATATATTCATAAACTAACAGGGATCAAAGAAGATTTTTTCACTACTCTCCGAAGTATTATCGATTGGATTAGCGACTTTCGCTTGATTAGTGAAATGTTTTTGAAACCATAAAATCTTTGTAAAATGACTAATGAAAAATATTTATGGTGATATGGTAGGAGAATATAAAACTTAAGTGTAGTATTGTTGGTAAGCTTAACTTATAGTTGAAAAATCCTATAGAACAATATTTCACAACAATTGTGAAATCACGAAACAATTTTTTTTGGAAATACGTGTTCGTTATTCAGAATTGTGCAATAATCATCGTTGAAACTAGTAGAAATACATATTTCCAGTATTTGTTCGAATACGAACAAAAATGTGGTTCAAAGTTCCACTGAAGAAAGAAAACGAAGGAAAACATTGAACAAAATATGTTTTTCATAATTTCATTCTCATTTCCCCAAACACGTTACCCTCTATGCAACACGGAGAAAAGTAGCAGATGTAACAAACATTGGTTCCTACTTTCATACATAACTGAGGAAAACTGAAATGAGGAAAGCAAAGTCATTGATAAATACATTTTTAAATGAGGTGGTCGCATACCTTGACTATGTACTATCATAACCTCCGGATAACTATAGAGCAGTCCTGAAAATTAGCTCAGAACTCATGAGTCTTAATATCCCTGGTGCGATCATTTGGACCCCTCTCCCATGTGGAATTATTTGTTAAAGTGTTTCGACCAACAGAAATCTTGATAAAAAAATAATAAATAGATCCAATAAATTCCAGCCCTTCATTCACATAGATGCTGAATAAAATTCAAGTAACTCAGCTTGACATTGTCAGGTTGGCGTTTGAATTTTCAATGTTGTTGCATAGACTGATATCACGTGAAATATTTTTTCTAGAGTTTGATCTATTAATTGAAGATCTCAACAAAAAACGCGTGACAGTTTTCGACTCTTGTATTCATTCATCAACATGTTTATGAAGTGAAGTCAATCTTATATCTCGCGTCAAAACACCAAGGTTTTTAAACCATTTGTCTTGAAATAACGGACCCAAAACAAACAGCTTACTGGCAGCTATCTTCTTTACGTACAAGAAAATTGTTCGATAGTTACTTATATGAAGACCTGGCACGACTGAGACAACGAACTGAAAAAATATTCGAAAATTTTAGAAAATTAAAAATAAAGAATCAATATGAAAATTCCCTAACTGAATGGAATTCAAGATGAACTCATTGAAAAGGAGGTCGAAGAAGCCCAAGTACATGCCAGACTCTTTCTCCTTACAAATGAGTCTCAGGTCTCAATGAATAATTTGAGAACTATTACCGGACACTACGCAAAGAATGAGGAGAGGCTACGAAGAAGTTTCTCAGGGTGCACTTCGCCGGCTCAAACTAAGCCCAGAGTCCTGAAGATCGTCCACGGTGGATTGGCAGTTGACAAACAGAGTGGTATAATAGTAGATTTCAACCATTGGGACCAGACGGCATTTGTCCACTGGTACTTGAAAAATTCAAAAAAAGAAAGGAATTTTCACTTCAAAAACTTCATTCAATTGTCATTGGAAGTTTGACACTGTCACATGTATCAGCTTGTTGACAGACTTGACTGACTGAATGGAAGTATAAGAGTTATTTATTTCTTTATTTTTCTTGGTCTCATCGGCATCGACTACATTGGTAATTAGCCTCGTGTCCTGAATAGGCAATGTTAATAACTCCCTGAGCCACTTGATGACTATCATGGCTATTCGCAGTCCGTCAGCCATGTAACATTGCAGAATCATCCCAACTTCAACTAGATAAATAGTAGAGTTATTATTGTGTTATCAAATATCACAAATTCAAGTCTGTAATGAAAACCAACACTTGAAGACAAAAATAGGTATATTTTATATACTATGCCGTTTCTTATTTGATATATCTGAAAATATTCAAACTTCGATTAAGTACAGGACTGATTAGGTTATTTGGTGAGTCTCTAAATTGTTTTCTGTTGATGTTATCTATAAACTTATTACGTACGTATGACGTATCTATAAACTTATTTTGAACGGTTTGGATTCATTCTATATAATCTAAGGAGGATTCCAAATATTTGAAGCAAAGCCCAACGAGCTATTGATGTATAAAGAGCATTCGTATTATTTTTGTGTTACTGAAAGGATAACTTGCTCTCATAATGAAACCAAGCATTTTATTTGATTAGATTAGATTAGACCTACTCACTTTGGACCTAACCTAACTTGACCTAGTTATATAACATATGTGCGTATCGAAAATCAATTCAAGAGTCAAATATTTTCCCCAAATAGTCGATACATATTTGGAGATAACGGTTCCATAATTTATAGCCAAAAGGCATGATTTTCTCAGAAGTAAGTAGTGGTGACGTAAGTTGATATGTTTAGTAATATATTATGATATGTTTAGTAATATATTGGAAAACATTTGATTCACTCATTTAGTTTCATAGGAAGACACGTTACGAACCCAAAGACAGTATGAATTATAAATGCTATTCTGAGAAACAAAACATATGTAGATGTTGCAAGCACTGTTTAGATTACGGCACAAATTACACATCCGAATTGAGTTAGGTTGGGTTAGGTTGGGTCCAAAGTGAGTGGGTTTATTATGGCTCACACCTATTCACACTCGACCAAATGAACATAGCTTCTTAACAAAGCCGATTCGTTTGTATGGTTTGTATGGAGTGGTCTTTCAGGTCAGATGGTAAGAGTACGGCTATGACGATTTCTAAAAAGCTGATTCGGTCCCCAGCGGGACAGGCACAACAACTATTTGGTACCAAGCTTCGGAAAGTGAATGAACGCCTTGGAGTTACCCAATCCTGGAAGATTCTGCCAGGAGTCCATAATTATCCTTGCCATCCATCAGAATTGCGTAGTGACAAAGCACATTTTTTCAGTTTCATCACAAAAGTGGTCAAGGAATTGTGAGAAATATCAATGTCTATAATTGTGATGCACTGTTTGGAACCTCTAGTGCAGTAATGTATATTACTGGAGTTTTATCCTAACACGAATCCGTTATTTTTAACACCTCGACACGTGTTTCAATCACCAAGTAATCATCTCCAAGAGGAAGATTAAACGAGTTTCATCTTCCTCGTGAAGATTAAACTCTCTTGGTGATTGAAACACGTGTCGAGGTGTTAAAAAAACGGTTTGGTATTGGAATAAAACTTCAGTAATATTCTATGTCTATAATATTTGAAATACAGTTATAACTTTTGAGACAACGATACAGACGAGGATACATGAAGTAATTTGAGTTTGTGAACAAAATAATAAACAATTGGTAATATGGGGTAGGATGTTATGGAATATTATATTGAATCAGATCGGTAATTGAAATGGTATCGATTGATCCTTCCAGAATTTTGAAGATGAATCTAAAATTAGTAATACCTCTTTTTCCATTTTCCAGCAAGACTGATTAGGTTCAATTATCGAAAAAACGTTATTTCGGTTATTTGACGAGTCTCTGAATTATTTTCTGTTTATGTTATCTATAAACTTATAACGTACGTATGACGTATCTATAAACTTAATTTGAACGGTTTTGATTCATCTAGATAATTTAATGAGGATTCCAATTATTTGAGGCAAAGCCCAGCGAGCTATCTATGTATGCAGTGAAGAGCATTCGTATTGTTTCCAGGTTATTGAAAGAATAACTTACCCTCATAATAAAACCAAGCATTTCATTTGCTTTGTTAATAATATAAGTAAGAGTCGAATTCACTTTGGACCTTACCTAGTAATTTAAGTGTGCCTAAAATATTTCCCAAATCTTTGTTACATATTTGAAGATAACGGTTTCATAGTTAATAGCCAAAATGTGTTGGAATATTTCGACGGAATATAATTTGATGTCATTTGTAAAAGTTCGGAAACAGCGCATCATTTTCACAGTATTTCATGAACCTGTTAGGGTCTTCTTGTATTAGTAGAGAATCATATCAATAAGAAACTACATGGAATATTTTTCGATCGTCAGCGTACATGAGAAACATTCTTAAATATCATTAATGTAGATGTTGAAGAGTAGTAGTGGACTCAAATGTGATCTCTGGAGAACTCCAGATGTCGGGCGAATGGAGTTTGAAATATAATTTCTAATTCAAACCGCCTGACCGACGGTCACTCACTTAAGATCGGAACCAATTCAGCATTGATCCAGTAATACCGACTTCAGCAAGCTGGAACACTCGTAAATCATTGTCACCTCACAAACCACAAGAGGAGACTAAATCATCTGTCGGTAACAAATAAGACAGATGGGTATCCGCGGCTAAGCTAAACAGTGGAGACGGGAGTGGGTTAAACAACTTAGCAAATTTCAAATAGATCTTAATGGGCGCCAGGTAAATTTAATCCTCCAGATACCCTAAGTAACTCACAATATCAATAACTTACCAATTAATATTGGAAATAAAAGATAAAGATCCCCAATATGATTTATTCAGTAATCCTAACTTACATGGATTAACCAACAACGCTTCTAAGACGACAATGCAATATTCACACTACTACGCGACGTTCAAATGACAATACAAAAGCGCGGTGTATATAACCACGAATTCAATCAGCCATAAATTACGGTAGTAACGACGCTCAAAAAAACTACAATACGTCGAGTAAAACTACCACGAAAATTGAGTAGGTGAAATCGTAAATACTAGTATCGGATGGTAAGACAAACTCGTTTGCGTCGCGTGAGCTCAGGCGTAGGCGCATCGGTGTCAATCAGCAATCGTGAAAGGAAGAATATACCTCAATTTTCGTTTCACAAATATCTATGTCAATCAGGTATCAATAACAAACTCTTAATCAATAAACGATAAACAAACACTATATCAACAGGTATCAATAAACATAAGGGCAAACAATTATTTAAATATCTC